GACATTTTTTAAATCTAGTTTGACTGTAAGGACAAATTTAAGAATGAAAAAAATGTACATGGAGACACAATATTATAAGCACGTGCTTATGTTCATTGTTGAAATCTGACAAACAGACAAATAGATACATCTATCAAAGAACAAATAATGACAGGTGAAATCATAGTAATTATCTGAGGCACTTCTCGTTTGTCTTTTGCTCTCACTATCCCTCAACTGATTGGGGCCGTCACACTGTCTCCAAACCTGAATTGACTTTAATTCCTCTCTTTGGGGAAAGATCTGGCTGAGCTCCACTTTCCTCCCGGTGCTCACAAATGCAGACCATTGATTGAGGGTTGGGAGGTTAGTAAACTGTCGGGTTACGTGGGTCTATTAGGAAGTAAATGATGGAAGCACTTGTAGCTTTTTGCTGCCTGCTGGCTGTGTGGACAGCTCTAAAACTAAAACCCCTGTGACTGCCTTTAAATGAAGAATTCAAGTCTGACCTGTGCTGTTCTTTTCTCCTGACGGGGATTTTAACACATTTGAAAGCTCAATCTAAGATTTTTTTGCAGTAGTTTATTTTTTATTGTTCATATCAATCATGGTATGAAATTGTATATTCTGCTCTCATATGATGTCCACAGCACTTGCTTGCTGACCGACAGACTCAGTTTGTCAAGTTTAGTGGGCGTCCTTGTGCATATCGGCGGTGGCGTATTTAGATATGTGCAACATGGGCCACTGCCCAGGGCATCGTCTTGCCCAGGGGGGCACAGAGCGGTTTTCTATGGCTCATTGGCACATCACGTCAATGATCAAATGTCACTGTGTGGGTCAATTAACCTTGTCTGAATGGGCGGCCTGTACCACTAGTTTGTGAGATGGGGGAGATGAGGAGGGGGACGGGGTTCGTTGACCTCCCCCTGAGGAAGGGGGAGGCGGGAAACAGCACACCTACATTTGTACAGCAGCCAACTGATGCAATAAGTAAAATCAGTCACACTACAAAATGCTACCAAATTCATTCATAATACTGTGAATATGCAATTTCATAGACTAGTCTGCCAGTTTATTAGCAATTTGCTATCATTTGTGATCATTTGATTTTGTATTTTATTTATATTGTTTCTATTCTTCATCTTCATGCTTCAATTTTGGATTTATGGTTATAAGATAGAGGCTAAGAGAGTCGGCCCAGGGCGCCACGAAAGCTAGAACCCCCACTGCATATGGAGTCTCGGTTGTACAAGAACTCTCTCAGCCCTCAGTCCGTACAGCACCTTGATGTCATGTCAACCTCTCATCACACTGTCCATTCCTCACAGGATTAGACCAGCGGGCCATGTACAGTAACACCCTGCTGAATTAGGGTTTGTGCAGCCTGCTGTGAAAACAAGGACCCTCTTTCATCCAGTATGCAATATATGCAGTCACACATTAGGTCATGAAAAGAGTACTCCATCTATTGTATTCCCACGGCATTGTCAGACTGATGATGGACAGTTAAAAAAACATCTAAATAGATAGAAAAGAACCAGGATAAGCAATATATTACCCTGCACACTCTTTTCCTCTTTGCAGACATGTATACTAGATAAACTGTGGTTTGGTTCAATGGACTCAGATTTAAAGGATCAGTTGCTTCTGCTAGTGGCGGTGTTTGAATTACACAGCAGCTTTTGGGGGAGCCTTATTTTCCGGTGGCACTAATAAACACGTAGAGGTGTGTGGCAGTGTAGTCAATTACAGAATATTGTGAAAAATACAAATACCGCAGCTACGTCCACTCAGGGAAGAAATGTTCAAGAGGCATCGTAACGTTAAAACACACGTGATTTGAGAGCAGCAGCACCATGTATGGATGGCACCAGCAGGAATAGACACTGCATTGTATGAAATTAGTGGAGAGATAGGTTCAAAATTTGTATTTTACTGAGCGAAAAAGACACATTGACATATTTTATTGCTATTCTTATTTATTTCAGGAAAACCCATAGAAAATGAAAGGCAGTAACCAATAAAAAAAATTTACGTTTCAGAAAGTCAGCCTCCAGGGGGGCCCATGGGCTTTTACAGGGGAGACAAGCTCACCTTAGCTCCCCCGTAATTCAAGCCATGGATTGGGGTTAGATTCTACAGTTTTGTGACAGTTCACCTCTCATTAACGGCTGGCAGAGATCCAGTCAGCCCGAGCTGCAGCTTATCTGATGCAGACAGTACACCCCCCGGTCTGATTGATAGTATCCAGCCCTCACCCTGCTTACCTGACACCTGGGTGAGAGATGCAGTCTGGATTACATTCCTGTATTGATTCTTTGGGGGTAAAGCTGCGTTGTTGCACATTCTAGTTTTATTTTTGTCTGAGTTTACTCTTCATTTCATTGGAGGGGGGAAGCAGCCTTGGGTTGTAAGTGTGCGCCTGTGTCTTCTTCCACAAAAGCCGAGGATAGTTTGATAAAGAAGGTCATTAAAGTCTCATTAGGTCGTGAGATCTGTGGCACTGGGCCCCGCAGATAAAAAGCAGGGCCGCACTACGAGAGCTGGCTGCAGGGTTGTGATATGTGAGACCCGCTATGAACTCCGCAGAGAGACACTACACCCAAGAGATCCCTCTCCTCACGCCGTTCACACAGTTCTGTGTGTTCTTTTCTCTACTCTTTCTTTCTCATTCCCAAAGCCCCCAGTGTGCAGCGAGAACATCAGCAAACGCTTCCTACCTCTACATTGTTTCTCGACTAGCGCGGCCCTTCACCGCCCACACAAACCATCGATTTGATACTCACGCAGCTGTTGCATTGAAGCTCTCATAAGAGCGCCGTTTCCCTCGGACCATGAGGTGGCTGCCCTTGAAAAGTATGAAACCAGAAATCGATGCAGCTTAATAACTACTCACTATCGCGAGTTCAAGCTTTTGCAGCAGGCCCGGCTCTCCACAGCTAAAACAACTATGACACCTGGCATTGTAATGGAAATCCAGCCGGCACTCAGAATAAATAAGAGCAGCAATGAAGGCCCGTAGAGCAGTCGATAACTGCTTGGCAGCACAGGCAGGGAGACTTGACTCAATTTGTAAAAGTGAGCCGCTCTCCGGCTGCAGGGGCACAGAGGAGTATGCCGGAGAAAGCTGATGCCACAGAAGTTGCAGAGTGAGCTTCCTTTTCCCCGAAGACCTGATGTTTTGAAATGAAGAGTGCAAATGGATTTAAAGAGACATGAATCATTTTGCGTTAGAAGGTTCTGTCAATTACAGGTCATCAGTGCTTTTGTTGTTCAATACAATAAAGCTCTGCTCTGCCGATGCTGGATAAAAATGACTTGTACATGATTCATTTTTTATATATATAACACAAGACTCTCAGTCTCACTGCAAATGAATGTACTTCAGCAGTGATGAAGTGTCATTACACTTGATTCTGAGTCAGACTTACTTTCCAAAACTTCTACTGCCACCAAGTGGCCCTCAGTGGGTATATCACTGTATCAAGCTATTAGAGAAGTTAGAGGCTTGATTCCCTCAATTTATAAAAAACAAACTGTCTCACTCACTCCATTAAAATCTATCTATGCATGTAATATAATATCAAATCATCCCTTTAAATGATTTTATGTTATTATTATGACAAAAATGATATTGAGGGTATTGAAAACCCACATACTTGCACCAATATGATGTCAATTCATATATTTCTTTCTGCAAATACAACCTTTAATAATTATTTTACCAATATTTGGGGTCTCTACCACCATGAGACATAAATTAAGGACTATTAAGGATGAAGGAAGGTGTAGCAGAACTATAATATAGAAGGGATAGAATTCTTTTTATGGAAATTGCTTTATGTTTTGTTACAAAGTACAATAGCCTTCATTAACTGATTCAACACAAGCAACGATAAGAAAGATATTTTTCCTATGCCAGGAAAAACACATCCATTCCAGGATCACATTTTGATTTCACTATCTCTCCAATCAATATTTCATAGGCTGTGACACACGAGATAGTAAGGGAAAATCCCGGCAACTTCATTATGGATGCTTTTTTTCCCCAGAGATAAAACAATGCCTTTAACTTGGCCTGTGTAAATATATTTATGAAAAGAACATGGAAGGACATTGGCAGTAAGTGACCACACATTAGACCGTCTCCACATCTTCATGTTCACTCCAGCCCACATGCTATTTTGGTCCTATGTGTCTCAGCCTCTGAAATATTGATTGTAGTAAAGAAATATTTGTTTTCAGTCTGCTGAAGATACTGAGGCAAAGAAATGTAATCCTGACGTGGACATCTTTATGTTTCTACTAACCTTTATAACACCATATGCTGTCTTATTCATAATGCCTTTATGTCCATTTGTGGTAGACACCTCAAATATTAGCAGAAATAATAAAAATAGATTTGAAGACAATGATTCATATAAGGGCCAAAAAATAAAAAATACCCCAATATCATTCTTAAGCAGGAGTTTTTTTTTTCCACCCAAAATCTTAGTTGGTCTTTCCTTATCATGGTCCTCCTGACTTGAACAAGGTTGAGTATTGCCCTCACTCTGGGTCTCACTCTCAGAAAAGTTGTCGATCTTGCTGCTACGCTGCTGCTAAGTGTAATTAATCTTCATACATGCTACAGCATCCGCAAGAAATGATTTCATTTTTTTATGGACTTTTTCAGCTCCTCCCATTCTATTATCGTTTGGATATTATGTCAATGCTGCTATGAATTACTTATAAAGATGAACCCCACCCCGCCTGGGTGAAAGCAAAAACAGATATTAAAAAATAGATAATTAATACCAAAGATATCTGAATTGCTACATGCAATTAAAAAAAAACTTCTTGTATTTCACTGTAAATACAATCTTCCTTTAAAACTGATTCTTATTTTGCGAATCAACATGTGATTTTAGCAGTGTACACAACATCTGTTTTGTGCTGTGTGAAACAAACCTTTCCTCCAGCAGTCTGTAATGAATGTACTGTAGTACTGTCTAACGTGTCTCACATCTTCTCTGCAGTGTTCATCATGGCTGCCGGATTGCTGGTCTACCCCTTCGGCCTGAACTCTTCTCTGGTCAGGTCCTTCTGCGGGGACTCCGACATCTACTACGCCGGCGAGTGCCAGATCGGCTGGGGCTACATGCTGGCGATTGTCGGTGTCATGCTCACCGTCTTCTTGCCCTTTTTTGCCAAATACGCACCGAAGGAGCAGCTGTCCCCCACCCCTTTGCCCACGCTGTTATAGTGCATTGGAATGAAGTCTTGTGCTTTCTTTTTTCCCTCCTGACCACACTCTGACCTGGACGTGATGTCATGGAGAGACACCTGCATCATCCATTTTTAATGCTGCATATTGATGCTGTTTGGGAAGCCCTACTCAGTGAAGCAACAAACACTGTCTTCCTCCATCATATGTAATGGATTTAAATTCATGTTACTTTAAATGGAATGTTTTATGTTACGATAAAACTCTGTGGTTATTATTTTTATCCTGCAGTCTGCCACAAGGTTTCTACAGTTTGACTTGTTTGTTTTTCTTCGTGTCAGAGGATGCAAAGAGTAATAACCCAATTTCAAGCAATTTAAGAAAATGTCCTCAAGTACCTGCTTAAAATGTGTGTTTTTTTCCTTTCGCTCTGTTGTGGAAACAAGTCAACATTCAGTACAACACATTCCAAAACAGACTGGAAGTAAGGACGGGACTCAGATGAGATTTTGTGGCTCGACTCGAACAATCAAGTAACGTTTCAGCGCGAGGTTGTGACTCCAAGAGAGAGACACTTTTTATTGGTCGAAATGCATCTGTGCATTTGGACTGTACATATGGTGTTTTGGACTGTATATATATATTAACAGAGCTAATGTTTGAGATTTCAAAATATTGATTGATTGAAAAGTGAACTCCGACACTGGGATTTTTGCTCTTCAGACTTTTCCAGTGTTTGTCAAGAAGACGTTCTGACTTTCAGCGACTGTCGTAAAGAAAAGGACAGTAAACACAGCACCAGACCTGCCGAGAGGACAAGTCAAAACATCTGCTCGTAAAAGCAAAGTGAATAATGATTAACGTGGAGTGGTTCCAGAGCAGTGTTGTCAAAAACATTTATGTTGTGATATGACATCTTTTTGTTAACCTTCTCCCCAGATTTGTTTGTGTGATGTGACTTGCTTGTTTAACATGAACAACTTTTTGCCTGCAACACACTACAATACTTAACACTAATTCAGGAAAAAAACAAAAGATTGCAAAAGGCAGGGAGCTGTAGGAATTTCATCAGAAATGCATGATAAAGATGGGCTTTGTTAATGGTAGAACAATTGATCTAGATTTTAAATGTGATCTGACCAACTTGTGCCTTTTAACATAACCAAGACAAGTGTTTAATACAGTTATCAGGTTTTCATCTTTTTCTGCAGAAAAACTGTGGATCCTGTTATGTGAAGTGATTGAATGTCTTTCTTTTTCCTCTTATAATTTTTCCTCTCAGAGGTGAAGTGTTTCTCGTGTACTTGATGCAGTATGATCTCATTAACTTGAGAAAAATGCTCTGGCGGAGAGGGAAGAGATGTCTTTTAATCCTTGGAGGTAATGACAGAGAAGGAAAAAAAAAAAGGAAAACAGTGCACTTGGATTCAAATTATGCCCTGAGATATTTTTTTCCAATTATCTAAAAGCGTTATTTCACTTGAATCGCTTTATTAAAAGGTTGTGACATGCAGCTAACAGATTAATTCCTGGCATCCTTGTCTTATGTGATTTAGAATTGGAAGTGTTGGAGGAAGTGGCTGTACAAATTGAGCATCGCCTGTTGTCATCTGTGCTGAGCTGACACATTACTCACATCATGTGTAAAACGTGGCTTAAAATAATTAACTCCTCATGTAAGCAAAATGTGTTGGTGTGTTTGTTTGTCAACCCACGTCTCCTTTTGAGCGCTGGCACCGTTGCTGTCATGTTCTGAGGACAATTTGTCCACATCACTTACTGTCCCTGTACACTGCCAATTTAATTAAGCTGGACTCCCTTTTCTAGTGTGTGTTTATGTGCGTATTTGTGTTTTAATAATGGTTTGGAGTCTGCCAATGGGTACAATTTTAAATATTCCAAACATTTGGGTTTCCCATAATCATATCCTGAAATTCAGAAAATGACTGTGATTCTGTTGCCATATTTGAAAGGGCAGGAGAGAAATTTTGGTATTTTATTGGACCTCATACTGTGCTCAGCTGTGGGAATGATTGGCGTGACTGCACTGGACTTGTTCCCTTTATTCGTTGGACCATTGTGTGTAAAGTCTCAGCACTGGTGAAACTGTTTTCTGATAGAGTAGACCATTGTTTTTCTTTTCCATTGTGATGTTTAACTGTAAATAAACTAACTGTACTTGATATCACATGTTATTCTTAACTGCCCCGTTTTTCAAAGATATATTTTGAGATATTACCTCATCGTGTTTGCTTTACCTGAATTCACCTCTAAACCATGTCTGCTGTTCTGTGAACTTTTCTTTGTAATAAAAAATACTTCAGAACTTACAAAAAGAGAAGCTTTACTTTCCATCAACACTGGGTAAGTTACCATTTCACAAATAAATAACAAAACAAAAACATCTATCCACTAACAAGTAAGGGAATTCAACTGTTACAATGCAAAACTTATGACAACATCGCCCCTTACAGGTCAAAAAGTGTTCAAACATGCTTTTTAACAAATTGCGTGGACCTTCATTAAACACTATTTCCTTTCCTACAGCTTAAGATACCTACTCAGACCTCATGGAATGATTTGATCAGTACCCTCATTTCTGTATCAGATGCTTTCACTGCTTCATGGGCGTTCCTCAGCTCTGAAGGTAGGCCGGGCCTGACGGACACACACATGAGGAGGTCTCTGCTGCGGTCATAGTTGCCCACGCAGCGATGAACTTGACCACGGATGAGACGGGGCAGTTTCTGCTCCTGTTGGACAAGATGCAGAAAAGGAGTAAATTCAAGTGAGATCGCAATGCTGGATTTTCTATTGGCAATAATTGTGAAATGCTGCTTTTTTAGTAATTCCTTTTTTCTTTCTTTACTTGTACAGTGAATATGCAGTATAACCATAGTGCATATTTATCACCCTTAAAAATATGGATCAGAGCAAGTAAACGTGGGCAAATTAACATCGATCAACTTAGGAAACATTTGTTTCATTCATTAGAATTTTTCTCTCGAGACTTATTTTTGCTCACAGTTTCATAGAAGACACACTGCACAGAATCCTTTCCATCTCTCATGAGGAAGGTCTTGGCTCCATGGCGACCCACAGTAACTGCAGAGTCAAGAGTAGCTAAGGGAGAACAGCCAGTGAGATGAATGATGCTTAAAATGCTAGAGTACACAGGGATGCTGGAAGTCAGTAAGTGTTGGGGGTGCTTAGATCAAGTCTGAATGACCAACAATACTTTAAAATACTTTTAGAAAAGGAAACAATCAGTAAACCTGACTTTACGGCCTCAGATGTTATTTTTGAGACACATTTCACCCACTATTACCAACTTGCTGCGGCCCCCTCAGCACCCATATTTCCAACATAATTAAGAGTATAGTACGTAACAAAAACACCTTCAACTCGTAGTAAACTGACCAAATATCTCAAACAGGTAATGGACTTTGTCTTTAAACTGGCTCCAGTGTCTCATGCCATCAATAACTGCTGTCAGGATCCTCAGTGAGTTCTCGTTGGCTGGTTTCATTGGAGATGCCTCCTGCTGCACACAAATAAAGATGCTACACTCATCACAAACAATATCATGAAGGATCATGAACTTTAAACTTCTTTGTGTATTTAGTATAGATTTTCCAAATCTATTCTTACCCGAGTTTGAGTTGGTCGTGCAGACTGAGGTTGAGTCAAGCTTCTTTTTCCATCAGAGGGGGAACTCTGAGGCCCAAAGCTGTTAGTAAATTTCCAGGTGTTGTTTTGTGGCTGCACTGCACGAGCTAGGGGTTTGCTGGGAGGTGGGACAGGAGGAGGCAGGGGTCGAGAGTGTTGGGGGTACTGTGGCATGGAATTGGATGGTCTGTAAGACGGCTGCTGACCCATATGGGAGAACCCAGTGTTGGGTGTGGGCTTGTTTTGTGCACGCTGAGTGCTGGGAGGACTTTGATATTGGTTGGAAGTAACGCTGCAGCTGGAATCCTGTTGTCTGACTGGGTAACTGAGCGGCCCCGTCCTAGTGCTGAAATGAAAATAAACCTATTTAACTTATTAGAATCTAAAATTAAAAACACCAAATGTCAGTCAAACTTTCTGAGATGACAACATCTGAATTTCTTAGGTCAATGTTTTTTGTCTGTGCAAGTCAGATACACATTCTCTGTTCCTAGTGTATTCAGGAACAGTAAATTCATGGCTCAAACTATCGCTTGCTTGCTGCATGTTGCTCCTGGAAACAAAGTGGTGACCCCCATATTTCTTTCAACTTTCTCACATGTTTCTCAGGTGTCTGTTTGGTTGGCTATGATTTTATTAAGAATCAAAATAAAAAAAACAGTCCAACTTAAACAGTTTATGGGTCTGACATTGTGGATTTTCCAACAAAACACACTTTAGTTCAATAAAAAATACCTTGTGCTTCCACTTTTATATGGATATGATATGGGTGCATATGATGTCATTTTAGGGGCAGGTCCAGGAGCAGATCTGTTGCTGTCAAACTGCTGAGACAGAGTTGATTGTGGGACAGCCTGTTTCTTCCACTGGTCACTTTGTGAGGCACCAGATGACGAACCTGAAGCCTGATAACACCCATAGGTACCTGAGAAAGAGTACAGCTGTGGCTAATTGGGGTAAAGCAGGTCACTGATCAGGACGTTTGAGGTTTGAACCCTGACTCTTCCAGTTTGCGTATCTATGGGGAAGATACTGAACCCCAAAAGGGCCCATGGTGATAAGCAACTGATGCTTGTTAGAGCAGGGCAGTATAGAAAAACTGTATGATTGTGTGTCTTTGGTATAAAGTGCTTTGACAGTCCATTTACATAGTGCAGCAGCTTACATTGTTGGGGAGTATCTTAATCCCAAGGGAGATACTTGACATTATAGTCCTTTTTCTTTATGCAGTTGATCTTTTTAGATGTCCTCACACTGTCTAGTCATGGTACGTAGGAAAAAAAACATCTCAATCACAGTGAGGTATTGTTTAAAATCACTGGTGTTTCTTTTGGTATACTACCACCCTGAAGTAAACTGGAAACCTAAAGAGAGTGACTGCTTCACCTGGTGTGCTGCTGTGAGATGGAGCCGAGCTGGTGTTTGCCATGTATTCACTGTGGGAGAAGAATTCATTCCCTGAAGGAGCAGATGTCAAAGGAACTCTGTTTCTTTTCTTCTGGTTAAACAGTGGTACAGGGAGGCGGCCTGGTGGAGACAGTGGGTAAAACACATGCATACAAGATATATATGTGTAATATACATACACTTTATTTTTTCACTTTCTTTCACACTATGAGTGAGCATTTTTAAACATATTCCTCGATTTCTCAGAGAGTAATTCATGGACCTTGAAGAAAACAACAGGCATATGTAGGGGGCTGATATTTATGAGTGTGTGTAAGTTATTACAGATCCAAATCAAAATCTGGATCTAGTGAATTAAAATGTGGTTTCATGAGGGGACTGTTGGGACTTAGAATTAGTTTGGATATGGCAGAGGTTGGCAAAGAGGCAATGAATGGACTCTACAAACCTGCCGTCGGCCTTGGTGGCTGGTTTTCCTGTCTCCTCATTGTGGTTACTCAGTATCAGTCCAGCTAGCTGCTCCTGTTAGCTGCTCCTGTTAGCCACACAGAGGGATGTACCAGAGGAACAGTGGAGAAAACATATTAGCTGGTAAGTGTTGGTCACTCACTTGGATTCATAGTGAAAATCATTTACCTCACGTGTAGAGGCGTGTTAACACAGCTGGTATATGTTGTTTGAGTGACTTGTCATTTTAGCAAATCAGTGTAAGTTAACTGGCTAATTTGTTAGCCTAGAAGCTAAACTTTCAGACACCATGTCTAGCAAGCTGGGTATCTAAAAGAAGCCAAATATTACAAATGTAGCTAAATGTACTGCTACCAGAGGTAATTACTGCTCAAACAAATCAATAATGAATCAATGTGTTAACTGTGGACAGAGTTTATTGCTTACTCACGCTCTCTGGTCAGTTCCAACCTACTGAGGACAAAGTGTTTCCGGTCCAGCACCTTGGAAAGAGACTGGCGCCACAAGTGACCAGTGTAGCATTCACGTTCCCGTAGTAAACACGGAAATCCTAGCGCTGCTCAGAGGAGATCCCAGCAGATTTGTCCCTAAAGCAAAAACACTCCAGTAATAATTATACAATATTGCATCATTATGGGTGCCGCCTAGTGGTGCACAAGTGCGACTATAAGTCTGTCTAAGTTTGTGTCCTAAAACTGCTCTCAAAGCCACAAATGGAGGTTGTCAGACATGATTTTTACATCAAAATAAAATAGAGTTTGTTTGCTTCGCAGACATGTAACTATGATATCTCTCGGACCTATACTTTTGGTTGTATCATTTTTTTTTGTTAAGTTTTCTGGTTTCACCTCTTTACTTTGTATATCAATCAAATATCACATATCAATTTGGTATCAATCAATCCATTTATCTATCTATCTATCTATCTATCTATCTATCTATCTATCTATCTACAGTCTGTCTGTCTGTCAGTTTTTCTGTCTGCTTATCTATCTGTGTAAATATATGAACATAAATGACGTATGCTGTACAAGCTCATCTTATTTATGTAACTGGTGTTTTTAAGTGAGGCTCTGGACAGAATGTGGCAAAAAATCTATTGCCACATTCTATATCTATCTATTTATCTTTATGTGTCTATCTGTCTGTCCATGGTTGTGCTTTAACTGCTGTGGCTGGTCAGGACCAGATTAAAGGTTCAGTGGGTAAGATTTAGATGAAAATGATTAACTATTGGCTAAAATGTTTTTCTGAAAGTTTTCACTTGTGTGTAATTATCTAGATTGTATAAATTGTTTTCTTTATACGAGAATGGGCCCGTCTACGGAGGCTGCAATGTTTTTTTTTTTTTTACAGTAGCCCAGACTGGACAAACTAAGCACCTTTTGAGTTTTTATGACAACTGAAGGCTGCCACAGGTTCTCTTTCATGTTTGAAATGGGAGGATGAGGTGAGTGGTATTCAGCTACAACATGCAATTTGAACTGAACCTTTAAGTCAAGACAAGCTTTTATTTTTTGAGGCACTGTCCATCTGCACATTCAATTTGAACCTAAGAATTGGATACTAGATTAAAGTAGCAAATTCTCTGCTTTGATTTAAGAAGGTTTACATATGTATTGACCAGTGTGGGAGATAAAGACCTTCTAACAAAGTGTAATTATGACAGAGTGCAAAACTAACTCACAGAGTACTTGTAGATTGGTGTGATGATTATTCTATCTTCCTTGGCAGCTATATCAAACTGGAGCACCGAGGTTAAGAGAGAGTCAGATCAAAACAACAGCCAGTGGAGTTTCCGTGAGACTATTTACCTTACGACTCAAAACCAGAATTAGCCCCCCCCCTCTCATCCCTGATAGGAAGCCAGGTAAACAAAGATTTCTCGTCTGCACACTGAAAGTTTCATTTATTTGTCACACTGCCTCAACAGATTCCTCGTGGTATTTCAGGAGATTAACTTGAGTAAACTGAATTGCGGTAATCTTGGGTTGAGTCTACAACGTAAGACGTGGGTAAGGCTGCAGAACTAGCAGAACCAGCTCTGCCCCTTGTTATGCACGGAGCCTGGAGATAATGAGAGTGCATGATGGCCACACTGTGATTGTGACACACATGGTTTCTCATGTTTTCTGGGTCTGTCATTCCATGGCAACAGAAGCAAGATTACTCTGTTCAGGATTGCCTCCAAATCAGAGAAAATATTAACTTGTCCACAGATGGTCTGGTGTGACTTTGGTAAAGTTATACTTATATTTGGACAATGGGACAATGTCTTGTGTGTACACGCCATGTCCATATTTGTTGGTTGGTTTGAGTGTTTATGGACAAACTACTGGACAGATTACCATGAACTGTGGTGAAAGGCTGCGATATGTGTAAGGAAGGAACTCATTCAATTATGAGGCAGCGCCGGATGAGGGGGTAAATCCAGGATTTTTGTTTTCCGCTATCTTAACATTGTGTGAAAGGGTGCTATTCTGCATTTTCACAGACTATCAATATCTGGGCCCTTGTTTATGGTGTATAAATGTTTGTGGTGTGTATATGTTTGTTTAGATTATGTTTGTATGTGTATATGTTTGTGGTGTATATATGATTTTTTAGAATACGTTTGTGGTGTATATATGTTTGTGGTGTATATATGTTTGTTTAGAACATGTTTGTGGTGTATATATGTTTGTTTAGAATATGTTTGTGGTGTGTATGTGATTGTTTAGAACATGTTTGTGGTGTGTATATGATTGTTTAGAACATGTTTGTGGTGTATATATGTTTGTGGTGTATATATGTTTGTTTAGAACATGTTTGTGGTGTATATATGTTTGTTTAGAATATGTTTGTGGTGTGTATATGATTGTTTAGAACATGTTTGTGGTGTGTATGTGATTGTTTAGAACATGTTTGTGGTGTGTATATGATTGTTTAGAACATGTTTGTGATGTGTATATGATTGTGGTGTGTATAGGTTCCTCCCAGAATAAGAAACACAAATCTGAGCGTTGATTACGGATTGTGTGTCCCAGACCTGGCAACCTGCATGCTGTTCAGTGGGAGGCGCTAGTCCGCAGTAGTTTCTGGAAGGAACCTCATGCTGGTACCATGGACAAAGTGAGTGTGCAGCTACTCTTTATTAATAACCATCAAATGTTAACATTTAAACAACACCGACTTGTTTCCATGATCTACTTTAAGCCTCGGTGCAGTGTAAATGTGTAAATGTGAATGAAGTTGGCCTCTACACCCGGACTCTGTTTGCTCACATCACTGAGCTAGCTAGCTAGTTCTCTGAACGTCAGCCCGGTAGTAATGTGCAGTAGCTGTGTGGCCCGTGTTGTGTGATTGGGTTTAAAGCTGTTAACTCAGAACAAGACACCGCTGCTCCGCTGCGTAGCTACTAAGCTAATATTCAATCTTAAAGGTTCGGGCTTAGCTAGGCTAACTGCTCAGTCATATGTTCACGCTTGCACCCGACAAGGTTAGCTAACGGTTAAGCTAACGTGCATGGCTGTAATGTGTCTCAGCTGCTGCAGTGAACTTTTCCTGCCTCTGCTTGTCTCGATTTAACAAAGCAGCTCACTAACCCACGAGCACATCACCGGTAAGATACTGCAATCAAGAAATCCCAGCGTTCAGGCAGCCAGTGTTTAACAGCTAATATTAGCCTGCGGTGTGAATGCTATCATCAATGAGGTGATGGACACACGAGAGACGTAATTGCAGCCTCTATTTAAAAGCTACGTCAGGACAGACAGCTTGAAGTGCGGCGGCCCGTCAGTAGCACATGCTGCGGGAGTATTTTGGGATCAGTGTCCCCAGCAGCGTGCTCTCTCAGCGGAGGATCTTTCTAGACGCACTCAGTGCAGCTGTCATGGCTAAAGCCGCAGATTGTGCTTCACTGCCGCTTCCTGTCGAATCGAGTGCAGATTTGTCTTTTCTTATTAAACAACGAAAACACACCAAAAAATAAATCTCAGAATGAGAAGAAATGATTCATTTTAGATTATATCAGTTAGTGTTCATCTGAAGTCCTCGGGCAGGCACATACACTAAATCTAAAACTCACCAAATACTAAAACATTCATTTACATATAATGCCATTAAAGTGTTCATCCCACAAACAGTTACACAGTCAAATCTACGTGTACACATCAACAAATACCCACACATTCATTCAATATGTCGAAAAATATAATTCAACACATTTAAAAATCCGACTCACATTCAAATTATTTGTTGACATGACTGGTTGCTCAAAATAATTATTTTGTACACCACGGGAGAAAGAATTAAAGTCTGTGCAAGTTTTTAGCTCAGCCAGACACATTTTCCAACATTTGATGGCCTTAAATGAGAAAGCAAATTCCGCAAAGGCAGTTTGCCACAGAGGGATGTTTAAGTCTGAATTTAGAGCAGATCGAGATGTTCAGCTCATTTTCTCTGAGTAGAGCTGAAGAAAGCTCTTCAGAGGTGGTCGAGCAGCATTGTGAATGATCTTAAATACGAATTTTACTTCCAAAAACAGAATGAGATTTTCAAAACTGAAAATGACCCCAGTTTTCCGTGACAGTACTTATGCTGTCCTCTAAAATGTTATTATCACGCCTGAGGTGGCCACTCATCATAACCTGCAAAACCACTAGCTATTACATTCAGCAAGTGTGGTGCACACTTTAGGTCAACAGGGGGCACTATGTGGTTACAATTACGCTGATGCACTGAGGACTTCATGTTTTACCACGGTTATTTATTATATCATTAAAAAAAAAAAAAGAGCAGACTCTAATCGCAGTTTGTTTTTTATTAGTCATTTTCGTAGCATACCACAATGACCACATCATTATAACATGCAAATTGAAATGACTGCTCACATAAAGCATTTGATTGTAAACTAGAATGGCAGCAGAGCACACACCTCATTTTTTTCATTGAGAACATGAATTATTACCTCGCAATGTAAAGGATAGTGGAGCAAAAAGATCCTGATCTGGCTCTGCACCAACATTTAAAGGTCCAGTGCGTAAGATTTAGGTGAAAGGGATCAATTGGCAGAAATTTTATGTAAAATAATTCTCATGATGTTTTCACTAGTTTGTTTCATCTGAAGTGTATGAATTGTAGTTTTCTTTACCCAAGAAAAGGCCCTTTATATTTAAATACTTTATATTTACATGGAGGGGTCCTCTCTACGGAGGCCGCCATGTTTTTTACATTTGTCCAAACTGGACAAACTAAACACCTTTGAGTTTTTATGGCAAATGAAGGCTCCATGGCAGCCTTCAGTTCTTTTTCATGTTTGGAAGGAGAGGGTGAGGTGTGTTCAGCTGCAACATGCAATTTCAACACGAGATATCACAAAATTCTACACACTGTACCTTAATTTCCTTGGCGGGGGTACTAATTTAAGGCTTGAGGCTTGATGCACTCTGTCTTCTTCACACACATGTGAACAGCTTTCTCTCATAAAATCTATAGTACACTATTTCTAGTAGCTCTGTTGTTTTTTTTATTAATAGACTG